TGATAGATACTAGAAATAAGGAAGCACACAATAGCTGAATAGTCACTTTATTATCAAAGAAAAACAGAGTGCATATCCCAGAAAGAGAATACAGATCTGTAACAGCACAAAAAAGGTATTTCTAGACAGTTAGAGAGTGTCTAGTCTCTCCCGATTCCCAGCCAATTCCAGCCCCCCCTTCTCCCCACTCTCTTTCCACTCCTTATACCCCAAACAACATAATCACTCATTTCCTACTGTGCCAGCTCAGCAGTTTGTTATATAGAAAGATTCTTCTCATTCTCTCTCTGACCATTTTGATCCCCTACTTTGCCCTTCCTTCTTTGTCTAACATACACCTTAGATATTTTGGGTTTGGGCCTAACTATTTCCGGGTTCCTATCAACTTACAAGCTGCACTAAGAATTGTGCAATATTTGAAAGGGACCCCTGGCAGGATAATTTTATTTGAACGAAATGGGAATGTAAGTCTGGAAGTTGCACTATTTTTGTCAAGATTTGTGTTTTATTGTTTCCTTTTTTAGCATATTATAATTACAGTATATGATGGGGATATCCCTAAATCATAGGGATCCGGATGTCTAGGAGCTATTATTATACTTCCTAAAATAGCTTTCTAGCTTTGTATATATAGATTGTATTCTCGGCATAATAAGATGAATCATTCTACCCTAAATTATAACACAAAAAGAAAAACAATGGATATATTAATGCCAGGAAAAAAATGCGGCTCAAAGTCAGAAAAATTATTTAATCCATGTAAAAAATTAAAATATTATGTTATTTAGATTTCTTTTGTGATATTTTGAGGTGCTGCATATGATTGATGTTATTTGTGGTGTCAACATAGGTGATGCCTAAATACTCTTATTTCTATTAAGAAAATGTTATTTAGTTGACACAAACTATATTACTCACTACTATGTGTATGATGACACACATGGGTTCTTTTGGCTTGTAAGGGAGCATTGTGGCACTGCAACTACTTTAATTTTCAAGAGAGCGCATACATCTATTAAAATAGTATGATATGCAGCCTTTTTTGTAAATGAATGCTTTAATTAACTCAATTTAATAAAATCAGGTATGCCAATAGATGAAGCTCAACAACCAATAGCGAATGCAGTATCAGTCAGGTCCAAAGCACTTGAAGAAAGTAGCCAAGAGATACCGCCAAAAGCATATGTTAAATCTAACAAAGAGGTGAAAACACCAGAATCTGTTAGTAATGAAGTAGTAGAAATAAGCACCACTAACTATACTGAGAAACAAGAGGTCCCAAAGGCTCATGTCGGAGAGGGAGAAAGGATTGGGGATAAATTCAATCAAGAAAAAGAAGAAGGAATTGAATCTACAAACATACAGGAGGAAGAAGTTCGGATAACATCATCCACTCTTGTATCAGTTAAAGGTGATACTAATCAAATACCACAGCAAGAAACACTACACGTTAATGAATCAGAAGTGATTGAAAATGCCATTGTTGTTCAGGTTAGGAATTAGTGAAGTAAACAAGTATATAAATATATATATAAACATATATATATATATATATATATATATATATATGTTTATATATATATTTATATACTTGTTTACTTCACTAATTCCTAACCTGAACAACAATGGCATTTTCAATCACTTCTGATTCATTAACGTGTAGTGTTTCTTGCTGTGGTATTTGATTAGTATCACCTTTAACTGATACAAGAGTGGATGATGTTATCCGAACTTCTTCCTCCTGTATGTTTGTAGATTCAATTCCTTCTTCTTTTTCTTGATTGAATTTATCCCCAATCCTTTCTCCCTCTCCGACATGAGCCTTTGGGACCTCTTGTTTCTCAGTATAGTTAGTGGTGCTTATTTCTACTACTTCATTACTAACAGATTCTGGTGTTTTCACCTCTTTGTTAGATTTAACATATGCTTTTGGCGGTATCTCTTGGCTACTTTCTTCAAGTGCTTTGGACCTGACTGATACTGCATTCGCTATTGGTTGTTGAGCTTCATCTATTGGCATACCTGATTTTATTAAATTGAGTTAATTAAAGCATTCATTTACAAAAAAGGCTGCATATCATACTATTTTAATAGATGTATGCGCTCTCTTGAAAATTAAAGTAGTTGCAGTGCCACAATGCTCCCTTACAAGCCAAAAGAACCCATGTGTGTCATCATACACATAGTAGTGAGTAATATAGTTTGTGTCAACTAAATAACATTTTCTTAATAGAAATAAGAGTATTTAGGCATCACCTATGTTGACACCACAAATAACATCAATCATATGCAGCACCTCAAAATATCACAAAAGAAATCTAAATAACATAATATTTTAATTTTTTACATGGATTAAATAATTTTTCTGACTTTGAGCCGCATTTTTTTCCTGGCATTAATATATCCATTGTTTTTCTTTTTGTGTTATAATTTAGGGTAGAATGATTCATCTTATTATGCCGAGAATACAATCTATATATACAAAGCTAGAAAGCTATTTTAGGAAGTATAATAATAGCTCCTAGACATCCGGATCCCTATGATTTAGGGATATCCCCATCATATACTGTAATTATAATATGCTAAAAAAGGAAACAATAAAACACAAATCTTGACAAAAATAGTGCAACTTCCAGACTTACATTCCCATTTCGTTCAAATAAAATTATCCTGCCAGGGGTCCCTTTCAAATATTGCACAATTCTTAGTGCAGCTTGTAAGTTGATAGGAACCCGGAAATAGTTAGGCCCAAACCCAAAATATCTAAGGTGTATGTTAGACAAAGAAGGAAGGGCAAAGTAGGGGATCAAAATGGTCAGAGAGAGAATGAGAAGAATCTTTCTATATAACAAACTGATGAGCTGGAACAGTAGGAAATGAGTGATTATGTTGTTTGGGGTATAAGGAGTGGAAAGAGAGAGGGGAGAAGGGGGGGCTGGAATTGGCTGGGAATCGGGAGAGACTAGACACTCTCTAACTGTCTAGAAATACCTTTTTTGTGCTGTTACAGATCTGTATTCTCTTTCTGGGATATGCACTCTGTTTTTCTTTGATAATAAAGTGACTATTCAGCTATTGTGTGCTTCCTTATTTCTAGTATCTATCAATTGGTATCAGAGCCCGCGCTTCTTGGGGTCTGGATGGTTATTACAAGAACAACAATGGAGTCGAGGATTGAAAATCTAGAGAAAAGTATGCTTGAATGGAAGCATGAGAGTCAAATTCAAATGGACGAAATCAAACAGCTATTGAAGGAGAAAAATCGCGGAGACACAAGG